AACGCCCCTATCAACACTATATTAGGTTAATTATGTGGCAAGACCTCCGAGTTTAACGTCCATCTCCGGAAGGACAGCCAAAAGTGCCCTTTCCACGGACACAAATTTAACGTCGGACAGAGCTGAGGCTCGAACCCTCGAACCTGCTATCTCAGTAGTATTGTCTGTCGAGACATGGATCATATTAGTGTACATTCCAAAGTGTGTTATAATTGCGGCTTTTCTTCGACGGTTTAAGAGATCCCTGCCAAATGTACAACAGCTGACAGTGTGGTAAGGATAGTCGAACTTGCTCCAACGGTCACCTGTATTTAAAGACAATCACATGTGCCAGAGTTATTTCCCATTAATTGACCATTATTATTATTTTTCTGTTTACATTATAATAACATGTTATATATTATACTGGCGGCACAGAATTCTGTGAATGGCGGTAAGCCGGTCACTTTTTAAAAATCTACAATTAATGGATTGTAGTTAAATACTATTTCTACTGTATTAAAACAAAAAGAGTATTTTTAGGAAACATTTTAAACGTAGTTGGAATTTTAACTCGGTTTGCGGCCTAAGCTATTAAAAAAACAAAAAAACCTTCCCAACAATAAAAAGGCAATTAATCCCCTTTGCCTACCAGCAACGAACGAGCCAGGAAATCCTGTTTCCGGCCTCTTAGCCATTCACTCCGTGCTATACATGTACGAGGCTTAGTAAGAACTGAACAAAGCAGGTTGTACAATAATTAATTCGTCGGCAAGCGGGGCTAACGTGCTTAGCACAAAAGGAAAACAAATGCTTGAACAGGGGAAACAAGCACCTCCACCCAATTAAAACCTCTTTGATTCTAACTAACAATTATACACACCACATTGTTTAATATGTTTCTTATTTCAACATTTTGAAATTGAATTTCGACACAAATATTATTTCTTGAGCACATGCAAACCAGTCTTGATTAGATCTATACCAGGATTGAGAAACTACAATATTTTATTTTTAAAAAAAAGTTGTTTGTAGCATTTTAGAAGCTGGCCGATGAAGGCCTGCTTGATCTCCAATTTCGTAATTACATGTATACACTTACATCAGAAACACTTTCAACATTAGGACCTCGACTACCATGACC